CAAGATTGGTTACTAAACATACTTGGCAAAGAACAAAGTGTTCTATACAGTACACAATTTTCTATCAAATCTGAGTTAATTGAGAAGAACCAACACCCACAGTTCTAGGACACAGTGCATTAATACATATTTGCTCTTGGTCTGAATTAAATGGAATTAATCAATAGATACTATTTTTCACTCAAAACTGGTTAAAGTAACTTTCAGAATACTAGTTAGCTGAATATATAATGAATATATATATATTTGTTTTCTTAAGATTTTATATATATATATATATATATATATATATATATATATATATATGTATGTTAGCTGAATATATATATAATATATATATACATATAATGTCTGCCACAGTATTTTATTTGAACAGATCAAACTTTAATTGCCATCAGTGACCACTACAAGTATTTTATTTGAAAAATAATTTCATTAAAGGAAATTTCTGTTCTGAGGAAAAAAACCACTAAATGTGTTATTGAAAAGACATCACTGCTGGAACAAGAAATCAAGCTGGAATATACCTTAGGTGCTGATTATGGAAATAAAATCTAAAAAACAAATATAAGAAAAAGATGGGTGGCAAAGAATGATAAATGATTGGATAAAATAATTGGATGTTTATTATTAATTCTGTTACACCTATTTTCTTTCAATACAAGACAAATTATGTGAATGAACTAGTTTTTCATTCAGATTAAAATCTTGAATGTGCTTACCAATCTGAGATAACTGGAAGTAGTTCTCAAATTATGACCATAATTGAATGGGGCAATTATGGTCATAAAGCAGGTCACGTGATCAGACCCATTTCTGCAGTACTTGTGAATTAAAGGTAGCAGTTGTAAAGCAAATACCACAGTTCTTAAATAAACCCATTGTTCACTATGGGCTGATTTTTGCTGAAAATTAGAAGTGATTGCTGGCTCCCTACAAAGCCATCATAAATAGCAGTCACATGATTGTGGGGCATACTTTGCCAAGCACCTAAAATTGGGTCATGTGACTACTGGGCGGTTACACTAGAACTTTGAAACCAGTCACAAGCAGCTTCTGAGGGGATCTGCTGTAATTTCAAATGGTCACTAAGTGACCACTGGTAGTCAAGGATTACCTGCATATTGATTATATTTACCTTTCAGTCAGAATGTTACTGACGTCTATAAGATTGGGAATTTTCATCACTTTTGAGAAAGAAATGGTCTTTATTTTTAAAACTATGTTAAGCCTTCTTCAGGAATATACCAGAATTTTCATGTATCTCATCTGAAGTAGTTCTTGCAGTTTATTATGAATTGCAGTTTATATATTATATTGTCAAATAAATATCCTTTCTGAAACTTGTCTGAATATGTTTTGAACTGTCCCCAAAATCAACACATTCTGTTAGTACATTACTATACACTAATATTACTGTTGAAATATTAAATTCATAAGACTTTTATGTAAAATGCTAACGGCCTTTATGAGTAATTCTCAAAGTCTGCTCTGAAAACTTGAAACACAATTTACAAAACAAATAATAATTTTCAACTTAAATTATTAGTCAGCTTACTGTATATTTCAGATATACAATAAAAGCAATCATATTTCCCAACTGATTAACCTAAGAAACAAATAAATGGGACTGCATGTTTTCAGGCATCTACTGTGAATGCATACCAATTCATCAACTAAAAATTCCACAACATATTCTAGATGTCTTTTCAAATTAACAGATAATTATGTATCTTAAGCCAAAGAATTCCTTAATAGATATCTAGTCGAATAAAATTGAAGGTTGAGTCCTATTTCATTTGAGATTACATGTGAAATCTTCTACAGACATAGTAATTTTTCCAGAGCTTCCTACACAGTTAGTTTTTTAAAAATGTAGTATTTTAGCTTTATCCTTAATTACTTCATGATGTGTATTGAAAATTTCCCCATATTAACAGATGTAATACTGCCTGTAAAATAATTATTTCCTCCTTTGATATTTAGAGCAAAACAAAGACCTTCTGAAGTAGGACTACTGATCAAATTTTATCAACATTTTTCAAACAAGAAATCATCCAGATATTTCCACCCATGAGCAATAATGAACATAGTTGCTAAAAGTACAGTGGTATTCAACTGCTTTAAAACTCATTGAATTTGGTACTTAACACATTTTGATGTGAAAATTTTTGTCCTGTTATTTAGCATTCGTTTGGTACTCGACATACAATCTAGAACTTGTTGGTGTTGGCTGCTCTGTGACTCACCACATTATTCCTTATAGGAAAAAAATGTTTGATACTCATTGTTTTTGGTACTCACTGCACCTGAATACCAAGGTGCCACCTGTGCATGCTATCAGAACTATATAACAAGAGAACAAACACATTTTAAAGAAAACTGCAAACCTATTTTTAAAAATAATTTTAAGAAAACATTCAGACAGAGAGCTATCTCTGAAGTTTGTTCACATTATTGTAAGAATCACTGCTAATTTCTATTCTACATTCCTATACAATTATAAAATATCACTTAGTTATTAACATATATTTATTAATATTTACCTAAGCATTCAAAATATTTTCCCATCCAATACATTCCTACATACTTTTTCAAATAAAAGATTAAAATTTCAATTAGAGACACTAGTACTGAAAATAAATTTATAAAATTTCATCTAAAATAAAGTCTATAGATAACAAAAATTAAAATAGTAGATATGCTTCTTCAAAAGCTGAAATAGCTAGGTATCAATAAAAGTTCTAAGACAAACAAACCAAATAATATTTCTCATTAAGTCATCAAGCTACAGATCAGCGATATACAATTTATTACAATAATCAGGTCAACAAAACTACTATGGATACTGAAATAACTTGACAATGGGCCCTACATTTTCAAATTCCACATTAAAAAGTTGACAGGAACAAAAAAGTACCTGTTTAGGCTAATATAGCCAGTAAGCAGTAGTTATATGCCAACTACTGATTTGGTTGTAATATATAAAAAAAACAAATAACTTATTACCAAGTGAAATAATTTGACTGAAAGAACATTAACATGTCACGACAACTTTTTTTTAAAAAAAAACTCACAAACCAAAAAATATTTTTCCTTTTTGGAGGGGTAGTATGGCAAGACTATTCACTGGAATAAACATTCTTGCATGGAAATCTTTCCCCTCTCTAGTATGCTTAATAAGTGCAGCTTGATTGTTTAAGTTCTTACAATAAATTTGGAAAGCTAAAGATCCCAGATTCACCAGAAAAAAATGTATTACATTAATACACTACTGTAAACTCTGGAAATTCGTCATCAGTCCAAATAATAAACCTGACTGACTTAGATGAACCCACAGAATCACACCTGTCTTATTATTCTGAACTGCTCAACAAATCCCTATGGTTCAGAGGTGGCATTCAGCAGGTTCTGACCAGTTCTGGAGAACCGGTAGTGGAAATTTTGAGTAGTTTGGAATACCACCTCTGACTGGCCCCACCCCCATCTATTTGCTGCCTCCCGAGTCCCAGTTGATCAGCTGGGTCTTCTTTTGTTGCCCTGCACAGGAGAATGGAGCTGGAAAGCAGGTTAGTGGGGTGGGGAGAGAATGGGGATTTTACAGTATCCTTCCCCTGCCACACCCACCAAGCCACACCTACTGAGCCACGCCCATAGAACCAGTAGTAAAAAAATTTGAATCCCACCACTGCTATGGTTACTTTCTGTTTGTTCCTGGATCTAGCGTACACTTCCTATCCTTACCTTCAAAATGTGCCATAGCTATGTCTTTTCATACTTCTGCCTTATACATTCCTATTTGTGTCATCTCTTATCTCTTCAATTCAAATCTATACTTGCATTTTTCATGAAGCATTTAGCATATTACTCTCCATTTCCTATAAAACCTTAGTATGAGAAGCTGAAATAAACTCTGCACCCCATATCACTTTTTTCTCAAAAGATTCCCCATTACATCTCAATTAATATTTTGTAAAGTGCTTCATAAAATGGTAACATCCTAGTAACAATACATGGACCAATAAAAAACTCTAAAAATATTCATTCTCTAATGTCTGACACAAATTGTATGAACAACCAAATTTCATCTCTCCCCCCCCCCCCTCCTTAAAAATAGGCAGTTTTGTGAGCCAGGCTACTTCTTGCCCTCACTCCAATCTACAGCCAAAGCCAGTCTGAAGCTATGTTTGTTGGTTCTCTGTCATTCTTCATCATCCATATATTATAAAATGGGAGCCACCCATTTAGTCTCAGTCACAAGTTCTTGGAATTAATGTGGTAAGTATGACATGAAGTTAAAAAGATATAAATCACTGTACAGTATGCTATAAGATTTTGCGAAGGCTGAACAGAATCCATTACAAAATAAGCACTTCCATGGTGTGTAACATCAGAATAAATAATCATTAAAATGATTCTGTGAAGGCTGGAAGATCAAAATGGGCTTTTTATTGCCAATAATTAAAAAGGTCAGCAAATCAAATTTTGGACTTCAGTGGGACACATTTATATAATGCTATCAAACCAAAATTTACATAAAAGTTCAGTTTTACTCTCTTACCTTTATGTAAGAAAGCTAGCATTTTATACTAACCAGTGAATCAAAATCTAATCTTTGTCCAATATCACATGTATACATTTTCACACAGGCAGCTACCAAATGTAGCAATATCCTGACTCAACATCTGAACTTTGAGTTCATTCTCAACTCTGAAAAAAGCTTTAAACATTTTTTTAAAAATATTACCTGAAATTCAGGGGGAAAGCATCAAGTTTGTTTTAAATCCGATTTAGATCAGATAAAGGCAGCTCTTGAAACATTTATGCTACGAATAAGTACAGCAATTTTCATAAGCAAACTATTAAGTACAGCAACTTTTAAATCTGAAACAAAGTTATTTGAATAGTAAAAGACAGGAAACTCTTGGTTCTTAATCTGGGATATCTTTTGGATTTATTCAAGGACACAGATAAGACTCAGTCAAATTAAAATCACTTACATTGTCTCTCCAGTCTTGGCAACGTGACAAAGAAATTGATCCAATACTGGACAGACTTCCTTTTTTCCTCTTTTTTCAAAATCTGGAGAAATGGTTGGAGAAATAGAAGAAGGGGGGAAAATGCAAAACATTCCTTGTGAATTCTGTAGTCTCACCTCAGCCTCCTGCCCCAGGTTTTTTCTAAATAGCAACTTTTTCCCCCCAAACCCACACATCATTTAAACTTCAGAAGACACTTAACATGAATGTGGAATCTAATTTTTCGGGTTTCCTTCAGGGTCTGCAACAGATGCCTGCCTCAAAGTTGCCATCAAGGAGAAAGAGAGTTCATCCACTCCTGGTCATTTTGGGGGATAGGGAAAAGGGTAGGGGGAAGGAAAGGAATAAGTATCAGGAATTGGGATAAAATGGAAGTGGGGTTGGAAAGAAACCCGAAGTATCAGATAGGAGGAAAGGGCAAATAATCTCGAAGAAAGAACTTCAAAGGGCCCTTTTAAGGGAAAAAGCGAGAGAATCGGGAGATGGGGGGGGGGTGAGGGTGACCCCGTGCTACCCTCCTCAGCACACATTTTGGGAAGCCCAAAGTAGGGTCCCCAAAAGCAGAGCAGCCCAGACTGTGGCGGGAGTAAAAGGGGTAAAAGGGGGACCCTTCCAACCGCCGCTTTTCCCCTTCTCCAAGAGAATTGCATTTCCTTCCCAAGCCACGTTAAGGGCCAGGCCTCCTCTTCCGCCTCCCAAGGTCGGAGGCTCGTCCGTCTCTCTCTCCCCTCGACCTCGAAGTAAGCCTCCCCACCTCCCCGTCTATCCCAATTCAACCCCAGCCGCAAACCTTTCAGTGCCTCCTGGAGCCTCTCGATATCCATGATCCGCCGCCGCCGCCGCTGCTCCTCTTCCTCCTCCTGCCTCCCGGGGCTCTCGCAGGAAACAGGCAGCCGCGGAAGCGAAGGGAGTTCAGGTGCGGCTGCTCCACCGGGGACAGAGAGGGGGGGGGGAGGAGAAAGAGAGAGGGAGAAAGAAAGAGGGGGGGAAGAAGAGAGAAAGAGAGACAGACAGACAGAAAGAGAGAGAGAGAGAGAGAAGAAAAGTAACAACCGATTCCCCGGCGGCCGGGCTCAGCAGCCTTCCAACATGGCGCCTAAGCCGTCGCCGTGCGCGCTCCCGACCCTCCTCGCAAGCACACACCGATTTCAGCCTCTCCTCTTCCCGCCGGCTCGGGGGCGCGCTCGGAGAGGCGGGTGGAGACGAGAAGAGGGCGGGGCTGCCGGGGATGACGTCACCGCAGCTGCGGCGGGACACCGCTTCACAGGGCCGAAAACTCGGCAGGGCTCCGCCACCTCGGAGTTGGTCCCCCCCCCCCTTTCTCTTGCAAAGATTGGGGAGTGGCAGGACTCGAGCATTCGCAGGTTAATGTTTTTAGACGAATGTTTCTCAACCTTAGCAACTTTTAGGATGGTCGGCTTTTTTCTTTTTTTTTAACTTCCAGAATTGCCTAGCCATGCTGCCTCAGAAATACTGGGAATTGAAGTCCGCCCACCTTTAAAAAGTTGCTGAAGTTGAGATATTTATCTGGATGAGATGTACCTGTGCATTTTTACTCGACCCCTTTCTTCCCTCTCCTGTAGCCACTGTCAGCATCCACCCCACCCTCCTAGAGAATGAAATATTTTGGAAATATTAAAAAGGCAGAGTAGAATATTTCCCCTAAAGGAGAAATTGGGGGGGAGGATCTTAAAGGAAGCAGAAACCAGCCCAAAGTCCCCCTCCCCCAAACAGAAGTGCAGATTTGGTAATCCCTTCAGAAAGACTGGGTCAGATGGAAACTCAAGATAAGCAACACAATTAGGCAAGCCAAAGGTTGCCAAGATTAGCTCAGACAAACACCTAGGATTTCCATATCCTCTTTTGCCTATAGCCAGCCATGACCCCATAGGAATTACGGTTTAATTCTGTTTTATTCCCAGTTTGGAAGTGGAACTGGATTTTTCATCCAGCACCACATGGTACAGAAGGGTTTTACTAGAAGAGGTGCAAGGTCTTTGAAAGATTATTTATTTATTCAATTTCTATAGCTGCCCAAGTCTCAAACAAGTAATTTACTACGCAAACAAGTAATGCACTATGCAATCTAAAACCATCTCTTTATCTATTGGACCGGACGGAATATGTGCCTACTTCTTAAAAAAGCTATCCACTGCCATTAGCCGAACCTCTAAGCATAATCTTTGAAAAATCTTTCAGGACCAGCTCCTTGCCAAAACTATAGTCACAAGCCACAGTCATCCCCATCTTCAAAAAGGGAGACCCCAACCTAGTTGAAAATTACAGACCAATCTCTTTATGCTGTGTCACCTGTAAAGTCATGGAATCAATTATTAACCAATCCATCATCCTCCACTTAGAAACAAACAACCTACTCTCCAATAAACAATTTGATTTCAGGAAAAAACTATCATGTAATCTGCAACTCCTACACTGCAAAAACATATGGAATACACAACTCAATCAGGGCAAATCAATAGACGCAATCTACATAGACTTCTGTAAAGCCTTTGATTCAGTGGTACACGACAAACTACTAAAACTAAAATCTTATGGTATCTCTGGACAACTGCATAACTGGATAGAAGCATTCCTGTCAAACAGACAACAAATGGTCAAAATTGGGAGTGTCCTATCAAATTCTGTAGTTGTCAATAGTGGTGTCAAGGCAGTGTTCTAGGACCAACTCTCTTCATACTCTACATAAATGACCTCTGTGATCATATTAAGAGCAACTGCGTTCTCTTTGCTGATGATGTAAAGCTGTTCAATAACACAGAAAATACCGCTACCCTTCAAAAAGATTTGACTATGTATCAGAATGGTCAAACAAATGGCAACTTCAAATCTCAACAAATAAATGCTCTGTCTTACATATTGGCAAAAAAAATCAGAAAATAAAATACAAGCTGAATAGTCAAGACCTTGTTGATGATCCAAACTCTGTCAAGGATCTTGGAGTACTCATCTCTAATTACCTAAGTGCTAGAGTCTACTGTAACTACATAGCCAAAAAGGCATTAAGAGTTGTTAACCTAATCTTATGTAGCTTTTTCTCTGGTAATATCACACTACTAACTAGAGCATATAAAACATTTGCTAGACCAATACTCGAATACAGCTCATCAGTCTGGAACCCACATTACGTATCTGATATTAGCACAGTTGAGAAAGTCCAGAAATATTTTACAAGAAGAGTTCTCCACTCCTCTACTCGCTGTAGAATACCTTATGCCACCAGACTTGAAATTCTAGACCTAGAAAACCTTGAATTATGCCGTCTTCGGTCTGATCTAAGTATGGTATATAAAATCATACATAGCAATGACTTACCTGTCAATGAATACTTCAGCTTCAACCATAACAACAGAAGATCACACAATAGATACAAACTCAAAGTTAATCGCACCAAACTTGATTGCAGGAAATACAACTTCAGCAACAGAGTAGTCAATGTCTGGAATACTCTACCTGACTCTGTGGTTTCTTCCCCAAACCCCAAAAACTTAACCTTAGACTGTCTACTATTGACCTCACCCTTTCCTAAGAGGTCTGTAGGGAGCATGCATAAGCGCACCAATGTGCCTACCGTCCCTGTCCTATTGTTTCTTTTATTTTTTATTTTTCTTATATGTATCCACGTATTCATAACTATGTTTTTACTTATACCTATTATCTTGTAAGCAACTGACAAATCTAAATAAATAAATTTGGGGGCTTACATTTAGCCTTTTCTCACCTGGTACCTTCCAAAGATGTTGGTGTTCACCTCTCAAAACGCAGACAAGGAGGTATGGGAGGTAAAGTTTCATGCATTTTCAGTGCATCAGGTTCAATGGAGCAAATATTTATTTCAGTTTATTTATTCAATGTATTTAGTTATGCTGTTCTGGAAATTTAATTTGCTAGGACTATAACGCTCAGAATTCCCAGCCATTATTGTGGCAGTTGGCAGAGTTCTTGCAGTCACAAACACTTTTATATCATAAGCTGGGAAATTTGCAGCCCAGCTAAGTCTTCCATAACTTGCTTAAATATGACATAAGGGGGAGATGCTTGAATAAATGCAGAACTTGAAATAAATGCAGAACCACCATGCCATTCTGTTTTGTTATTTCAATCAGTTTCAAGTAATGTTAAATCTAACAGGATTTAATCAAATTAAAACAATTAAATCCAATTATTTAGTTTTTGCCCATTTTTTGGAGGGAGTTCTCCAAGCACACAATGGGGAATAAATGTCAAAAGGAACACACTGACCTCTGTTTGCTTAGCATGCTTGCCATAAATTGATTAGAGCATCTAGGTTAGGATCATAAGTTGATTAAAGCAGCTAGGTTAGGATCTTGGTTGTGAGAGGAATGGGAAGCTGAAAGCAGGCTGCCCTTCCTTCTAGCTTTCACCTCATTTTGAATGCCAGGATTCTGGATCCTTAAACCTAGGAGTTTCAGCTGCTGCTCTTAAACGTCAGATCTATCCTCATCCATGATTTAATTTTGGATGAGGGGGCAGACTTTGCATGTATTACTGAGACTTATGTCCCCTTTCAAAAATTTGTCCACCAGGATTTTGGGTTGACACCAGCCAGTCTCTCTTTATGGGGTGGGTGGGAGTGTAGCTGTTGTCATCCATGACGTTGTAATCTAGTGGTGCTATCCAGAAAATAGGTGGGAATTGTAGGAAGTCAGCACCCCCCCCCCCCCAGAGTGAGTGAAATATTTTGGGGAATATTAAAAGGGCAGGATAGAATATTTCCCCTAAAGGAGAATGGGGAAAAATCTTAAGGGAGGCAGAAACCAGCCCCAGTCTCCAAGCCCCAAGCAGAAACCAACAGAGGAGGCCAGCTTTTAGAAATGCAGATTTGGGAATGCATTCAGAAAGACTGGGTAACAGAAACTCCATATAAGCAACACAATTAGGCAAGCCAAAGGTTGACAAGATTAGCTCAAACACCTAGGATCTGTATTTCACCTTTTGCTTATGGAGCGAGCCATGACCCCATAGGAATTAAAGTATAAAAACCCACCCACTCTCAACTCCATTTTGTCAGCTGTCCCAGAATCACATGATGTTGGTGATTCTGCTCATCAGTAAATGTTCTTCCTTAAGTAGCCTCTATTTTATTCCCAACTTGGAGCTGGCCTGGATTTTTCTTCCAACAGACTAAGATCTTGTGTTTGAACCAAAGAGCCAATTGGATGTGCTTCTTGTGCCACTACACTGTGGCAATCCTGTCAGGATTGCTTGACACTGTTCCTAAGTTTGCAGTAAGTAGCTTTTTTTAGTGAGCAGCCCAGAGGTTCCTGGACACCATGACAACTATGAACCTGACCTCATTTGAGGACTTGAAACACATGAAAAATCATTAGTTTTGGTCTTTCTCAGGGCAGACTCCATATCATCAGAAAGTGGGGGATCTGGAACTTGACCCCTTCTTATAGACTGATTACTATGGAGTTGGATGTAATTGATGTAATGAGTTGGCCACAGCAAGTTGGCTGTGCCCATTCTGGTCTATGGTGGGGAAAGACCCATTGGATTTATTTTGCCTCAGGTCTCTAACGGATACTATGGATTTTCAGAAGGCTCAGAGAATTCTCCAGGAATTGACTGAGAGTCTACTTGTTCACTGGAATAATCTGGCATCTGGGCTTTGGGACTGCATTTCACTTGAGCGAATTCTCTATGTGATCAGTTGATTCTGCTTTATTCTTGCTTTATTAAGGTTCTTAGTAAGAAAAGTAAGTACCATAGCAGAGAAAATGTCTGGAATGCTGCTGGAGAAAGGGTCCATCTTGAGTCTGACCAGACAGTGTGAGCATATTTGTTTCCAATAGCAATTTAGGGTACAAAAATAAATATTTTGCTCTTACTGCATTGGCTGAATACCTGCTTGCTTTTAAGGATGTTTGCCGGAATCATCAAAAGGGCTACTATAGGATTTGTTGGATATATCTTTTTATTTATGTATTGACTTCTTTTCATTGAGCGTGGAATTATTACTCCACAGCAGGAACAAAAAGAATGGAGAAATACACAGATTTCCCACAGAGCTTTAATTTTAAATTTTATCGCCATATGGGAATAAAATGTTTATAACACTTACTACAGGAATCAGCCCAAATAATTAAAACAGGATAATAATAATGAGTTCTAGTCATCTGAAAAAATTGTTAAAATTCTAGTCATCAGTTTTCTTATAACTTTAACAATTTTTTTCAGAGGACTAGAGCTTATTAACTTATCTAGACTTATCTAACCTTTAGAATTTTGGACAGATAATAGATTGGAAGCAAGGCAGATATTTAAGGAAAATATACTTGGGTCCATTATATGTCTTTTTACAGAATGAGGATCAGTTATGAGTGTAGAAATCAATTTTTAAATAATTGTTTCCCATTAATTAATCTATTTAATACATGTGCAGAATATAATTGACTGAACTATGAGAAGATGTAAGGCATGTGCCATGTTCTTACTATAGGTAGTCCTCAACTTACAACAATTGAGCCCAAAATTTGCTAAGTGAGACATTTGAATTTTGACCCATTTTATTACCTTGCCACAGTTAAGTGAATAACTAATTAAATTAAAAACATGTTTGTTAAATGAATCTGGCTTCCCCATTGACTTTGCTTTGCAGAAGGTCACAAATGGTGATCACATGACCCAAGACACTGCAATGTCATAAATATGAATCAGTTGCCAAACATCTGAATTTTGATGTGACTGTGGGAATGCTGTAACTGTCTTAAGTGTGGAAAATGGTCATAAGTCTTTTTTTTTTCAAGTGCTGTTGTAACTTTGAAACTAAATGAACTGTTGAAAGTCAAGGACTATCTGTGCTGAACTATTAAAAGATCTTTGAACTATAGTCATCTATAGCTATTTTGTTGAAACAAATATATATACAGTATATTCAGCATGTACAAGAACTGGGTTAAGTTCCTTTAAAACAGGGTTCCCCCAACTTGGCAACTTTAAGACTTGTGGACTTCAACTCACATAATTTCTGGGAGTTGAAGTCCACAAGTCTTAAAAGTTGCCAAGTTTGGAAACCTCTGCTTTAGTATGATAGCTCTAAAATGTATTGAACTGCAGATGAGGGAACAATTAACCCCAGCTATCACACCAGAATATAAATGATGGGGTAGAGAGGAATTTAACCACTTTTCTTGTTTTAAAGTAAAATCTGAACAAGCTGTGGTTATAAACTATGTACATTAATTGCATCATCACAATTAGCAGCATCATTTGAGTTTTAGGTCTTCATGTATAATCAATTTGCCTGACCTCGTGTCTGATTTGTTACAATTGTCAGGGTCTCTGAAAGCACATAATTGAAGTTGTCGTTTAACATCTAAGAGGACATCAGACTGACAAAGTTATACTAGTTAGGTCCATGTAAGATTTATTATATAAACATTGTCCAATTTCTTTTGACCAAAAGCCTTTCTAAAAAGCTAAGTGTTGCCACTTCGTTTGGTGTCATGCATTTTGGAAGTTTAAATCTTTTTTAAAAACCAGTTTGAGATATATCTGTTTCTTTGCTCTTCCACTGTTCATCATTATCCATTCTTCCTTTAATTTCTTGCAGAAATAGTACTACTAAAGTAAAAGGGAGGAAACATCTGTGAATTGTCCTTGAAATGTTAATACACTATACTTCAGAATCTCCCTGAATAAAGTTAGAAAGAACCTCTTAAAGAGACACCTGTCATTACTGAATATCTTATCCATTAATATCACAACATTTAAAAGGAACCCACTTTTAAAACAAACCCAAGGCTCATAGAGTTTTTTTCTTTTTTTTCTTTGCAATTTTCAGAATGGCAGAGCCAATTTGTCATTCCATGTAAGAAATGACAGCACTCATCCATCTTTAACAATTCTTCCTGGTAGTTTTGCACATTAAATCTCAGTGTCCAATAACAAGAGGAAACAATAGTCCTCCAGGAACACACACACAAAACAGAATTGTAGAGCATTAGTGAAACAAAGTGAAACAAAGATGTGTACTAGCTTGGATGAGAATTTAGTACAGATACAGCATCACATACCTCTCCAAATCCTTATTTTTTAAGTTCTTATTTCTTTTTTTTTTTAAAGTTAATGTTGTGCAATGCAATGGTGGAATTTTTTTTTTGAAAAACAAGATAACTCTGATTTCATGCAAATGCTTTCTTTGGTTTCTAATTCCAAAGGCCTATGTAACCAAAAGATGTAACATCCTACCAATATTTTAAATGCGAGCTAGTTTTCAACCTTAAATAAGAGACACTTTATGATTAGGTACACATATTACACCAAAATATAAAAATTGTTTTTGAATATCAGCTGGCTTAATTTGCACAATAAGATAAGATATAACTATAGATTATAAATTACACTGTCTGGGTCAAAACCAATTAAGCTGAAATTAAATCATCTTAGGCTTGTTTAGTGCACAATGTAAATCGTCTTGTTATTGCTGTAAAAACTGAATGCTTCTCATATCTGATGTTTTGGGTGTATATACAGAGGTAGCACAATCTGTTCCCAATGGCTTGGTCAGCGAGGTGGTATTTTCTATATTTCCCCATGTCTTTTCCAAAATCCTTTCAGGAACTTTATTTATTGTGACTATAGTCTTGTGTTTGCAGTTCTCTGCATTAAAAACACGAAATGTAAATTAATAATAAAACAATGACAGTAGGATCAGATGAAAGGAAGATTAAATGAACAGCAATCCAAAACTAAAACTAGCAAAAAGATTGAATAATACAAACTACACAAAGAATTAAAAAATGAAACAGCCGCTTTTTAAGATCCAGTAGTTATTTTCCTTGATCCATATTTTAAAGATATTCTTCTAGGGAGCCAGTTTGGTGGAGTAGTTAAACACCAGGCTAGAAACTAGGAAACTGAGTTCTAGCCCCCCACCTCAGGGCAACTTTGGGTTGATTTAAAAAAAAAAGCAAAAGAAATGTGAAAAAATGCTAAGAAGAAAACATATTTGGAAGATTATTAAGAAGGCTCCACTGATCCTTTCAAGCCCATATTTATCATTATAGCAAGGATGTTAACATCACAATAATTATTAAGTGCACTATTAGCAAACTGTTGTTACACAGGCGGTATCCTACCACTGCTTACACAGCATGGTTGTTGAATAGGCTACATTTAAATGGATTCACATATCATGATCATACTAAAACTTAAGTAATGATTAACAATATTCTATGATCAGGCCTGGTGTGTTCTCCAAATCAAGCCAAACATGACTTGCAAAACCATCCTTCATACTTGAAACATTGTGCAAATCCAGAAAAACAGGTTTCATTCAAAAAGAATGGTTAACAAATAAGTTTCATAAACAATGTTTGCCAATTTATATCAAAGTGCATCACTCATTAAGACATATTCCAGCAAAACCTGTGACTATTCAAGCTATAATCAAATCCTTAGCCACGATGTAGATTATGGTAATCAAGTTCTGAGGATATATGTCCTATGATTGGTGTCTTAAATATATTAATAATTAGTGCAATTTGGGAGCAATTTCAAAGTAAAAGTTTGGGGGAAATCTTGGAGTTAGCCAAATATGCATCCTATTAATTGCCAAGCTTTGACTTGTGCTGTCAGCTTTTTACCTAAATCTATTCATTTAGTCACTTATCTTTGAAGATTAAGAAAAAAACTACTTATAGCTAAAATAATTTGATAATTATTAGCAAGTAGAAATAAAAATGCTAATAAATTAGCAAGTAGAAATAAAAATGAAATAAAGGAGATTTTGATAATGACAAGACTGACTATTAAAATCCACCTACTGATGTATAAGATAGTACGAGCAAGAAGATAGCTTTATTCACTAGTTTCAAGAGCTTTTTTTGTTAATTTTCCCCTTAAAGACCCAGGTTACATTTGAAATTAATCCTTTTCTCTTTATCTATTCAGACTATCAGAAGCTTGTCACATTATGCCTTCTATTCTCTATACTCTTTTTGTTTAATCCTTTTTTGTGATCCTCTTGTTTAGATTGTCAAATATCTAGCTCCTTTGGATATCAACATCAGAAAACACCTTTAATATTTTCATGCAAAACCAACCATAACTTTATCATACAAATTATTCATTGCTAGAACAAGCGTGTGCATGTATACAAGATTGAACACAACTATTAATTTGTTCTAGAAAAACAGAGGCTCATATTGCTGAAAGTTGGTTTATTTACCTGAAAGGTCTAAAATTATAAATGACTTTAAATACACTATAATTGCCTCCTTAGGAGCCATAAATATTCAGTGCACTTCATCAAACAGAAATATACAAGTTAGTAAAGTGACATGACATTGATTGCAATTTTACACAGAGACAAGTAATGCAAATTCAATTTTTCATTTTCCACTTAGATGGAAATCAGCAAGAGTTTGCCATGTAGAAACCTATAGATATACAATTATCAACAAAGATTAAAAGCAGTGGATATCAAAATCTCTACATCTCGTCAAGAAGTTTCTTAGTGCTAAAAAAATATTTTTTCATAGACTATGACTGGATTCAGAAAAAAAATAAGGTGAGAATGGATTTTTAAGTGTATCAACATTCTGGAGACTATCTGGAATTCTGAAAATTATAAAGATACTATTCTACTAAATTAAAGCAGTTTGCCAATAAAGGAGAGTATTTGTAACTCAGGGTTGAAATGAGCGATCCTTTGTGCCCCCTGAGCTTGGAAGGTTGTTGGGTTTTTTGACAGATGCTTTATTACACAAACTAGGTAATATTATCAGTGCTAGCAAGGAGTGGGTTTTGATCTCAGTTTATATTCTAGTAACTTGCCCTGTCAGTGTTGGTGGGAGTGATTTTACAGGTTACTTGGTTGGACTGCTTACCGTTAGCTTGTTTGAGAATTCCTTGATTGGGGTATTGTTTACTTCTTGATTGTTCTAATATTAATTTTGGAGTTAATCTATATTCATCTGGGTGCTAATTACTGGTGGGGAGGTGTTTCTGTCTTTTTGTTCCCTTTTTGGCTTGTTGTCTCTTTTGCATAGTATGTAGATATTGTTTATGTCTGTGTCTATTGATGGCTAATTTGTCAGAGTGCCAGAATTCTAGAAATTCCCTAGTGTTTTTGAACTTGGCTTGGTCTAGGATAGTTACAGTTTCCCAGTTAAGTCTGACTATATGTTGTGCAATTAAGGAATTTTCTGACTGCTAGTTGGTGTTCATGGATGCATTTTATCTGTCTTCTACTTGCTTGTCCTATGTAGTGACTGTTGCAGTCATTACACAATAATTTGGGTAATGAAAAGTTTGATAGAAAACAACCAAGCTCAAAGAGCTCCAAGGACTCCTTAAAGCAATTTGGCAAAAGGACAAATTCCTTCCAAATCAAGGTTAAATTCATACACATCAGAACACATTTGAAAAAGCACCTTTGGGACAAAGATGACCTGGATGCCTGAGAATCTCCATACACATATCTGAAGAACTATATCTATCTTGAACTGTGACTCTTCAAGTATTTGAGATAGTAATCTGGCAGCTATTGAAAGCAAGTGTACTTGGAGTTAACACTAAAATGAATTTTGGCACATTCAACCTTAAAATCAATAGGTATAGACATGTCTAGGTCTGCAAGGGATCAATCAGCTATAGGTAATATTTTGCAGATAAAAATGTATTTAATATTAAGATTTAGGATGGGAACTGTAGCTATTCTGTTTTTCAATGTAACTATTCTCCTTTTAATTGTAGATGTACATAATTTATTCCAGCACTTATAGTTCATTATTTGAGTGTTTCCATTCAGTTACTGACAGTGTTTAATGTACACTGAGCCATCAACCAGAAATAGTTAAGCAACTATGCAGCTGTTAGAGAGTAAAGTATAATTTTATCACAAAATTATTAAAACAAAAATATAAATTCACCCTTGTTTCTCCAGTCCTGTAACCTTAATTTACCTTGGTTTAGTTATTTTGATGGCAGTCTTTCTACTGAATCACAGTAGGTAGAAAATCCCCTTCTTATATCTTAATATAAAAAAATAACACAGCATGTAGATGAGGAAGTTGACATAAATACCGTATTTATACGTGCTCTATATGTAATGGTTATTTTTTAAAAAATCAGTAATTAATATTTTGTATTTATTAATAACATTGAAAAATGTTATTAAAATTATAATATGAAATGTGCTGAAAATTGCAAGCTATTTGTTTAAACAAGCTAAGCACTTATCCAGTAAATATATTTATATAATTAGTTTAATTTTTTTCTTTAGAGATTTGCAATGTAGTCTACCAGCAATGGCACAAGAACAGAACACAAGCTGATATTTTTCATTGCATAAGTCTACTAATACTGTGCAGAACTGTTAATGTTAATTTAATATTAGAACATTAAATCCTTTATAAAGCAAGCGAAGATATAAAAAGTATTTTTAGGTTTGCTTGTTTTAAAAAAACAACCGAAAATATAATGCAACATTACATTTTTTGTAAACATACCAAAATATGGTAGACATACTTTATGTGACAAGAAAGTTAACTGTTTCCTTTATGTTCAAAATCACACTATTTAGTTTACTATAAAAGTATAACTGGAACTCAATTTCTGAAAAGGAATTTGAATTCACAAAAATGATTTAAAAAAACCTGCTCTGGAAACATACCAGAATTCATTATTGACTTTGAATTAATCCTCATCTCTATGATTTGAATTCAATTTCTAATATATCTAATAAAGTAACTCAAATCAAAAGTTCAAGTGGAACAGAATTCCTACTACAGATTTTAGGTTATTTTCCCTTCAACAGCAATGTTGCGCAAACTCAACATATGGCAAATCTCAAAAGTTTTGTGATGCATATCCAAGTATTTTTCAGTTTTGTTTGAGATGTGTATATGCTCGTGAATATCATACAGGAGATATAAAAACATTAACAAAAACACTATATTTGAGAAATTGAACTGGACAAATTCTAAATCTGTCCTGGAATCAAATACAATATCAGATACCACTTTTAAAAACCCTTCACAAAAATCTTTGCAATATCAGATTTTCAAATATCTTACAGGACACCTGAGATCCTGCACAGAGATTTAACAGAGAGCAACTAATCCATATCTATATTTCATCAAGTGAAAAATGGCCAAACTCACTCTTCAAAATTGTATCAATTTTCCATTACAGAGATTTTTCAAGATTCCATCTTCTGTTTACAGAACTGTAGCAAAAAACCAGCACAGAACTTTTAGTTCACAGGGTAGGGTATGATGGGCGACAAAAGCTCTATTAAAATATATTGCTACAATTATAATCTGAAATTGGTTCCAATATTGAAAATCACATGTTTTTCATAGACTTTCTTCATCGTTCTCTCAATTTGTTTCAGAAAAACTTGTGGAATTCTCCCACATAAAGTGTGTACAGTATTGAGGAATTTGGACTGGAGAGGATAGTACATTGATTGGAAGAGATTGTCTTCAAATGAAAACTAAAGAGGAAAAAGATACAAAAATGTAATCAGCAATCTTAAATCATTGGTTCATGGTTGATACTGATATATGTGTCATCACCTTCTCCTATTTAGCACCAATACAAAACACATAGTCTGACCCCTATTTATTATATCTCCTCATCCTCATCTTTAGTAATCTTTCATATTACTTAAATCCAATCTACTGGATATCATTATCATCCAACTCTTTGTCCTTCTTTGTCACCACATATTTAAGCATTAGTCCAGAAAAGTACCACTTTCAAAAAATTTTTTTTTTACCTGAACACTGGTATAAACTGAATTGGGACTCTTGATTCTGAATCTAACTGAAGAAGTTGTCTTGCATTGTATTGCAGCAAGAACATTGCTAAAGTCCCTGAATACGAATTTGGTATCATGGATGGAGTTCTATAATAGGATCAGCAGGACCTAATTTCAAGCATCCATTCAAGTATAACATTCACTGGAAATTTTGAGTAAGTTAGAATCTCTTAGCCTGCTCTACCTTCTAGGATTCTTGTAACAATAAAGCCTATTACTGATACTATATATTGCAGCCTTATTTTATCCAAGAACTTGTGACTTGGCAAAACATCACTTACATCACGTATCACTTCATAGAGTGCTTTGAAAGTAGGTTGTTTATCATCATGATAGACACCTCGATTCCCATGCAGAATTGAAATGCCTTCTTCTTCTGCTCCTTTGCAGTTACTGCCATACATGCAATGATCTGGTCGATAATTCCACTGACAGGGAAAGAGGAAGAGACATTCTAAAAGGAAGTAAAATGAAAACATGTAGAGAGAAAAAATTAGCCAAGAGTAGAATGACTCTTTTTTTTAACGACCCTGTAATCCCCTTAATTTGGGGGGGAGAGGGGGGGGGGCTAAATGGAGCTGAGCGTTTACTGGCCGGATGTACTTCCTGAGCCACATGGAGTTCGCAAAAGGTATTTTTCTTTCTGCCCTAGGAGAGGGACATCTGCCATTACATAGGTCTGAAATCTCAGCCGAGTGGCAGGTGAGCGTCTTCACCCCTAGGCATCACACTACTCTATTACCCAAAAATAGAATGATATCTAGGAATAAGCTTTAAATACAAGACATGGAAAGAAATCAGAGAAAAATAATTTTATAACAATCATACAAATGATGAGTTCAAATATATATAATTCTGACTTTTTCCTAGTTGCTCCAATCAATATTATGGTTTTTGAGAAAAGAAAACTGATAGAATTTGCAAAAGATGGAGGCTTCCAATGATTGGAAAAAGATGTAGAAATATATTATGGCTTAAGGGAACAATAATGCAACACTCATACTTGGAGAGTCTCAATTTTTTAAAATTATTATAATATATTCAAAATTAAAATCATGCTGTCATTATATTACAATATCTTATATACTTATAAAGTATGCACCTGGATTGAAGTAAAAAATAATATTTAGCAAGTCCTGGTCTCCCCACGTAATGTAATTTTTATACTTTTGGTATAAAGGGTACAGCATTTCTTCCCATTTCAAGCCTGTTGGTATCAAGTTGTTCTGAAATTGAGAAATAAACGATTTGAGAAAGTAATTGTAACTACAAATTTACATTCATAGCAGGAGGAAGCTATGGTGCATAGCATGGTGCAGCTTCTAGCTGGGTTCAGTGACCAAACAGTATGAAAAAAGTTGCTTTCAACAAGATGGGAATGAGAAGTCATTTCTCCTAAATATGCCAAACAAGAAATCTACCTTAGTATTCTGCCTGACAAATATTCATTCTTCCCCACTGGATGTGATGGCTAAGAATTATGGAAGCTGAAGTCTAACATATCCAAAGGATACCAGAACGACTGGCTATACTGATAGTACTCTTAGTGTGGCAATCTTTCGTGTAGAAGCATTTGAAGACCATGCGCTTTTACAGAGGCACAATTGAGAGCGTTTTAACAAACTGCATCACTGTTTGGTTGGTGGCAGCAGTGCCTCAGATAGAAAGTCCATTCAGAGAGTGGTAAGGACAGCTGAGAAGATTAGAGGAAGACCGCTTCCTGTTATTCAGGATACTGCTTATAAGCGCTATGTGCTTAGAGCTCAAAGCATTTTTAGAGATCCCATCACACACCCACTTCATGGTCTGTTTCTATTGCTCCCCTCTGGGAGGAGATTTTGAAGTATTTCGAAGACTACCAGGTTCTATAACAGCTTTGTTCCTTATGCCATCTGTCTGATAAACTTGCAAGATTCGTTTTTCTCGCCATGTACATCCAAACTAGACTATGTTGTTTCTCTGTATCATATAATATATGTGGGTATATACATAATTTTGTATTTATTTATTTAGTCATGTTTATGTAGTGTATGTTGGAGGTGGTGACTCTTTGAGAGCTGTATGCAACAAAATTTTATTTTAATGTATGCCGATTAGCGTACATTCAAAGTGACAGTAAAGTTATTCTAAGTCTAAGTCTTCCAAAATGAACTATTCTTTCACTGTCTGTCTTACAACCAGTTTGAGTATTTATTGATCTACGTGGTGCACATTTCTAAAAAAAACCAAAAAAACATAGTCCATGTTGTGTTTTCATCATGTCAATGCCATTTGTACAGAAAGAAACTAAACTCTACAATCTGTCAAAGTTTTGCCCAACTAACAAAAAATGGAGTAAAAACCAACTCTACCCCAACAAAGATATTCTTCCAAAATAAATGATCTCCTTACCTTGAATTGGGTATTTCTTATTCGGGTTAAATTCATTAGCATAACACCAGAATTCACCCCAGTGGTTCCATAATATGGGTGGCGAGCAAAACGACTATACCAGCCAATCTTTGGTATTTCGTGTTCCGGTGCCATTGCAGCCAGCTGGGTGGCATTGAAAATTCTCAGAAAGCCCCAAATGTCATCAATGGGTCGCAGGAATAAGACATCTGTGTCCACATACAGAAGGGAATCCACATCTTTCAAAATCATCTTTGGAAAAAGCCCAGATGGTTGAGAAAGCCATATATGCAAAAAACCAAAAATAAATACATTAATGACTCGCAAATGGATATATACCGATCATGAGGCAATACCTCTGACCTGCCTTTCTGTTCAAATAAAGAGGTTCTGGCACAATACTTCAGGGTCACGTAGACAGGAACAAAGGCAAGAGGAATGGGGGTGAAGAAAAAAGGTCAGATGCTGTTCAGTAGTTTGCACTCCCCCCCCCCCAAAAAAAGAAGCCAAATGCACCAGTTTTCTTTTCCTTTTAGCGTTAAAGGAAGTTACTTCCCAACTGTTACAAGGAAGAGTTATAAGGAAAATAGATTTAGAAGTGATAGCTATTAACCTGTAAGAGGAATCCATTGCTTGCTTCAGAGAAAAATCCAATTCTCCTTTGAATGGAATCAATGTCTTCCCTTAATTGCCATCCCTCCTATTTTTGCCTTGTTTAGAAGGCTCAGAGATGAACCAAGTTTTATCTGTTCAAGTTTTAAGCCATATCAGGTAGTAGAGAGTTTAAGAAGGCACACAGTCTACAACCTTTTCCTTACAAAGCATTCCACTTCAGCAGGAATGGAAGAGAGTCAATCATGGTAAATTCACCCAGGGTTAGTTTTATAATGGAACAATAGCAATAGCACTTAGCACTTAGACTTATATACTGCTTTATAGCCCTCTCTAAGCGGTTTACAGAGTCAGCATATTGCCCCCAACAATTTGGGTCTTCATTTTACCCACCTCGGAAGGATGGAAGACTGAGTCAACCTGGTGGGATTTGAACTGCCAAATTGTAGGCAGCTGGCTGTAGAAGTAGCTTGCAGTACTGCACTCTAACCACGGCGCCACAGAGGCTTCCTTAACAACCTATGTTTCCATACAGCACAGATTGCTGAACAAACTTCAAGATCCTATTATATCCTCTTGTTCAGACAAAAGCAATTATATCTGTATTCCATCTCCTTCTTTCTCAATTTGTTTCTTCCTTTTGATCTCCTGCCATACAACGATTACATTCAACTTTTAAACTTTCTGCCTTATCCATATGTTACTAAATCACAACTTTCCCCAACCTAGTGCTTTCCAGACCTGATGAAATACATCACCTGGA